ATTAATTAATTGCCTGAAATAAATTTAAAGCTGTAGTGAAAGATCGTGTCTTTACTGATGGCATTATTTTCTCCAGTCGGGGGCCTCTACACTTTGGAAACCTCATGGGCTCTTGACTCCTCTTCCCCTTGTGCACTGTTTGAAATCTTTCTTTTTTTCTACTCATGTTGTGGCCACCCTAACCCTAGTCCTCGTCGCTTCACCCCTGAGTTTCAGCAGTGGCCTTATAGCAGGGCGTCTAAACTTCCTTCCAGTCTACCTTTGTATAGTGTGGTCTTCAGAAGGACACTTGGATACAGTGGTTCTGGAGTAGGGGGCATTGGAATTTTTAAAAAATTACTCGTGTGATTCTGATATGACCTTTAGGTGGGAGCGAGGGCTTTAAATTGATGCTAACTTAACATTCTATGTGACATCCAATTATTACATCGCTCTCCTGCCTAGAAAGTGTCATTGCTATTTATTGCTGTATTAATTCATACTTTTCTGCTTGGCATCGGCCTTCTCCCCTCCCATCCAGCTCCTCCCTTCCCCAATAGTGCTCATCACTGATGCTCAAACATTCCTTGCTTGCACCTATTTCTGTGTTGTCATTTGTGGTCTTTCCTTTGCCACCTGCAAGAATGGATCCTGTCTTTCATGAATCAACTCAAGGGTCACCTCTTCCATGGATGTTTTCCTGGCGGATTCCCTGTTTCCTGAATTTCACCTCTTTTGAAGTTTATACCATAATGAATTATGTCAAGGGATGTATCTTATCGTAGATCACTGTTTCATTGTGGTAGCCTTGAAGAACCTAGAATGAAGAACCAATTAGAGAGCTTGAACCATGTCTTTTACATTTACGTGTTCAACAGCACCTAACGTAACCAATGGTGTGTTCCTCCCTGCAAAAAAGTCATCCGTCCTACATGTGGGTTAGATGTTTCTCTTTTCATATGCGTGACATCTTGCTGTATCCCAGTTACATTATGAATGCGTTACAACCCTGCATTTCAAGGGTGTCCTTCTTTGTGTATCTTTTGTCGTCTGTAAACTCTGTGAAAGTAGGACCCACATTTACCTGGTTCATCGCTGACCTTCCAGCACTTTTAGTCCAAGTCTTGATATGTGGTGTGTGCTCAATACATATTCTTAAAACTGACTAATTAATGATTTTAAAATATGTGTTTGGGGGGCACCTGGGTGGCTCTGTCGATTAAGTGTCTAACTCTTGATTTCAGCTCGGGTCATGATCTCACAGTTCTTGAGTTTGAGCCCTGAATCTGGCTCCGTGCTGACAGCATTGAACCTCTCTCTCTCCTCTCCAGAGAGAGGAATTCTCTCTCTCCCTCTCTCTCTGCCCCCCCCACCATAAATAAACTTAAAAAAATATATGTGTTTGGTTGAAACTACGACAGATGGAAGAAATAGCATCCATCACATCATAACGTGTTAATTGACCTGGTTTCAGGTAAAATAAATTAACATAATCTAAACATAATGAACCAGATAACTAGCATTTGGTTGCAAAGTCAACTATATCATTTTTCTAATTATTTCCTATCTGTGGTTTCTTGTCTATAACATTTAAGCTCCTGGAGAGCAAAGGATAGCATTTGTTACTTCCATGTATCTCCCACAGTCCCTACCTCAGTGTTTCTTGATTCGATGTCATTAAATGTAGTTTTAAAAGAGCCTGTGTTATAATGTATCTGCTTGGTGCTGAACATCTGCTTCCTAACAAGTGCTGCATTCATTTTAATGGCACTGGTGCACAGAGGTAAACAGAGCCTTGGCAGGCCTTCCATAAAGGAAACTGTGTTTGCTTCCTTCATTAATTACTAATGGAGCATTAAGAAGACATGTATTCTCCCTTAAGCCAAGTTGGATAATTCCTGGCACTTAAGGCTAGGGTGCTTTCAAAAGTTGAGACATGTATTCACACAGCAGAAAGCATGCCCTATGGTGAGCACAGGGGTGGCTCCATTGCCAAGACCATACAAAGCTTCAAATATATCGGTACCAAGTGTACTGTGCTGTCCGTTGGACCTTTTGCAAGTCTTGGGTTAATGTGGGATAATAAATATAAATCCCTAGAATGTCTCTGAAGGCAGGCATCACAACAAGACTTGGAAAAACCACCAGAAAGATACATAAAGTTACAAATAAAAGGATGATCAAAGATTTACCAAGCAAAACAACAGAATGAGAGTGGCAATGATAATAGAAGAAAGATGATTTGTGAATTAATTTTTTACTTAACAGCCAATTAATAACACAATTAAAATAAGAATTTATGTTCTCGAATGTGGCAACTAACACAGCATCAAAATGCTAAGCAAAAACCGCAATAAGAGATTGAGAGATTTATTGGTAATAATAGATTTTAACACATAACCATCAGAGTAGGATGGGTTAAGCCATCAGATTATGATATAAAAATACATCTCATTTTAAATATTTACATGGATATTTTCCAAAAAAAATACGTTTTTTTAATGCAGAAATTTTGCAGGCTACTCATTCTCATTACAAAATAATGAATTATAATAAAAATGTAAATGAAACAATCCAGCCACGTGATGATATCTATATTTGGGGGCTAGAGGAATTTGAAATTAAAGGAGGTACAATTATCCTTTTAAGGATAAACTTTAATCAGACGTAATAAATTAAGACAGAGTAATACAAAGTCACTTCAAAGACAGTGTGATTCCTAAGACACTAAGATCTAACCATGATTGTACTGAATACATTAGTATTTCCAAAGAAAAAAATGTGTCATTCCATAGGGGAGCTGGTTCAGTCAAAAAAGCAAAAAAAAAAAAAAAAAAAAAAAAAAAAAAAGTGTCAAAGCAATAACCTTGGCACAGCTCCTCCAGGGGAAAAGGGTGCCTCATCCAACTGGACTGAAACAATATAACCTATTGGCAAGACTGTCCTCTCTGGAGGTACAAGTGTGGCTCTTGTAGCCTGATTTTGGTACTGAATTCATGCACACCAACCAAGGCACCTTTTGGCTCTTCATGTATAGGATGTACAAGTCATTAAGAGAGCTATGTCCCAATAAAATTAGTAAATAGGAATTCATTCCAAGAAAAGTCTGCTTTAGTGCTGGTAAAGTAAGCTTCCTGAACCTTATAGGATATTAAGTCTACAAGAAGATAAAGAGTCTCGAAATTGGCATACGTTATGTATAAGTAAAGCAAATTACACAGTGTAAGTTGTTTTTATTTACTGCTGTGCCTTGGTGCTCAGAGAAGGTTTGCTATGAAGGAGGCACTTAAATATTTGTTGAAAGAGTGAAATAAGTGAGGAAGGGCAGAATTATTTAACAAATGCAGGTGGGATAATTGGTTACTTATTTCATAGGCACTGAAACACGTAAGGACTAAAGAGTTAATGTAAAAACTAGAAAAACTAAAATATCCAAATTTTGGTAGTACTTCTGAAAGGACAACGATTTTGTAAATTTAAAAGGTCAAGAAGAAATCACAAAGGAGAATAACAGCAGTAAATCTGATGACATAAATATTAAAAGCTTATGTTTGCAAAATATTGCAATATATAATAACCAGAATTCAAAGTCAGACAAAATGGGGAAGTGCTGCAGGGAATTTAACAGCCAATGTCTTGTCACCTTTATTATGTAACGTTTTCATGCAAATTGATAAGAGAAACATTAATATTCCAAGAGCTAACAGACAACTTGCATGAAGAAATTAGAGCTCATAAATAAACACATGGAAATATATTTGAGTTGGCAATCAAAGACATTCAAAATAAGACAGTAGTTTTTCTAGACACCTTTTAAATTAGCAAGAAAAACAAAAATTATTTTCATAAAACTCAATGCTGGTAGAGATGTTAAAAATGGTGTTCTTATATTTTGTTGATGTTATTTTATAAATTGGTACCTCCTTTTTGGAAAACAGCTTGGCAATATGATATAAGGGGCCATAAAAATATTTATAGCCTTTGACCCAGTAATTTGACTTCTGGGAATCTATCCTGAGAAAAATTAATCCAAAATATGGAAAAAATTAAATTCCTAAGAGTAAATTGGGAAATACTGAATTTCCCACAACAGGGGAATGATTAATATGTTGTGGTAGAGCCACTGCATAAAAAACAACATAGCCACTTATAATTATGTGACTAGAGACCATGCAGCCACATGGGATGATGCTAGTGCTTTAATATTAAATGAAAAATGAATACACACTTATATATAAAAAGATATGCAGAGGAGAAAGGATTGGAATAAATATAACAAGTTTTAAATGGTTCTACAGTGGCAGCAGGACAGTGACTTTTTTTCTTCATTTCATTTCATTTCATTTCATTTCATTTCATTTTTATTTTTTTTGGAAATGTGTTGTCTTTCTGCCTGTTCTCATACCCGGATGCAATTGCCTCTCTTTCCCTTTCTCTTCCCCTACCCTGCCACCACATATCACCCAAGTTCCAACTGGTTTAAGAAGCCCTCCCCATCTTGGGGCGCCTGGGTGGCTCAGTCGGTTAAGCAGCCGACTTCGGCTCAGGTCATGATCTCGCGGTCCGTGAGTTCGAGCCCCGTGTCGGGCTTAGTGCTGACAGCTCAGAGCCTGGAGCCTGTTTCAGATTCGGTGTCTCCCTCTCTCTGACCCTCCCCGTTCATGCTCCGTCTCTCTCTGTCTCAAAAATAAATAAACGTTAAAAAAAAAATTCTTTAAAAAAAAGCCCTCCCCATCCTATCAACCAAATGAAACTCTTTCTTAACTATGCTCCCATAGTCCTGTATTAACACTTCTCTTATGGTAAGTATCTAATGTGCCTTGTGTGAAAATGATACACATGCAGCAGGTGTCTGTTTCTACAACTAACGCTGTAAGTCTTAAAGGGCAGGAACTATTTGATTCCTGTTCTCTCCCTCTACAGCATGGATCACAGTGCTCTGCCTGTATGGTATGCCTGAGTAAATATTAGTTGAAATGAATTTAGTTGCATTGAAGTAAACTACTCTGATTCCCTGGCAGGTGGAGCTCATGAAGGTCTTCAGCACTTGGGTCCGTTTGGCAACATCCCAAACATTGTGGCAGAGTTGACTGGTGACAACATTCCTAAGGACTTTAGTGAAGACCAGGGTTACCCGGACCCTCCAAATCCCTGTCCCGTTGGAAAAACAGGTAACGGGCATGCCCTTGGGTTCTCATGGATGGTAGATAGAGTCTTTGGGAGGAAATTAAAAATTCTAACATCAGCTACAAATATTCTGAGAAATAGTATTTCTATTCTAATGACCCCCTATGTATTTGCAAGTAGATTGTAACGACCCACTATGTCTTCATAAGTAGATTGGAAAGAGAAATTTATTCTAAAACTGTTGGTGCATTCTGGTGGTCAGATACACCCACATAAGACTCTCTTGCCAAAGCTTTGCATTCTCTCCCTCTTTAGGAATTGATCCGTTTTTTTCTGCACTTGCTACTATTATAATAACAATGGCGAAAGATTTTCTTCTTTTTGCCTTTTCTATGCTATAGTTGCTTCCCATTTTTACTATCTTTGGAATTTACTAGTTTGTGGATTATCCATGTCCGTCTGTTTTCCTTACTTCCTTTGACAATCATCGTTTCAACTATGTCACAAACAGCATCTATCCCGAAATATTTCTTTGGAGTCAGGAGGTGACATGAGAGACAGGGCCCAAGATGATAAGAAGTTGGTTAACCAAGAAGGTTGAAACTTTCTTTGCTACTCATGTGTCCCTCCCACTTTCCTACTCCCTAATGCCAAAGAGAATGAATGTAAGTGGGCTACACTTGTGGTAGGTTTCAAGCAGCTTACCTGGGTGGTTAAGAGTGGTGGCTCTAAACTCAGACTACCTGGAGGCACCTGGGTGGCTCAGTAAGTTAAGCATCCAACTCTTGCTTCCTGCTCAGGTCGTCATCTTGAGGTTCGTGAGATCAAGCCCCATGTTGAGCTCTGCGCTGATAGCATGGAGCCTAGAATTCTCTCTCCCTCTCTCTATGTCCTTCCCCTGTTTTTGTGCTCTCTTTCAAAATAAATACGTAAACATTAAAAAAACACACTGAATTCAAAACCAAGGTCAAGATTCATGACCTCGAATGAGTTAACTAACTACTTTGCACCTCGGTTTCCTTATTTGCAAAATGGGGGTTGGTGTGGGAATTAAATGAAATTATCCACGTTAAGCACTCGGTGCAGCACTTCCCACAAAGTAAAAAATTCGTTAAATGGCATCCTGATTATAATTGGTTTTGCCACTAATAAATAACGCTCTCGTTGAGCTTGTGTTAACTTCTAGTACCAGAGTAGTCTTTTCCTCCAAGCATGCAATAATAGTGGGTATTTATTATCCCTGCTTTGCATGTATGGAAACTGAATCTTAGAGCATAGTGTGTCCAAGCTTATCTATGTAGCAAGTAGCTGAGCCAAGACTCAAACCCAGGCCTAGCTGATTCAGGACCGTGTGCTCAACCACCATGACATATTGCCTTGCTCACTGGCCCCTCAGATTTTCTTAAACACAATGCAGGCTTTCTCTGAAAGAGGTTTTCCCTGAAAGATATTCCTCCTTTCATTTAGGGTAGGTGTCTGATTTCTGTGGGGTACAGAGCCTCTGCAACAACCAGAGTCACTGGATGTAACCTAGCCAACGTAGAAATACTGGCCCATGACCTCAGGAAAATCTGAATCATTGCACCAAGCCAATCACTTTAGCCACGTTTTACATGCTCATAGCGTTTGGGATGGGTAGAAGGAAAAACCAGTTCAGAATTTGAAGAGCTATAGTCTTCTCGGGGATTTGGTTAAACTGATTAGATATGATATGGTACAGTGGTTCTTAAAGTGTGGTCCCAGACCAGCAGCATCAGCATTACCTGGAAACTTGTTGGAAGTGCAAATTTTCAGGCCTTACCTCAGACCGACTGGGTCAGAAACCCCTGGGATAGGACCCAGAAGCCTGTATTCTAACCTGCCTTCCATGTGATTCTGGTGGCTGCTAAAGTTTGAGAACCACTGTTGTAGGAGATTGGACAGAGTTTGAGCCGAGAGATCTGAGGTCTAGTCCTAACTGTTGTATGTCAGTCCACTGCCCTGTGCCTCAGTTTCTTCATCTGTAAAATGAAGACATAGTCAGTGCCTTACAGGACATAAATGTTGTTCTAGGTTAACCTGAGAAAGGAAAAAGTCCAGATCTGTGTAATCAAGCACTAGTTTTATGCATGCCAGAGCTCTGAGACAAGGCAGTCAAGGTGGGCTGGTACAGTTGGGTCAAATTACAACTCCCAGACCCCTTCTTGTTGCACACTGTCTGCCATTTTCTTTGCTATTTTCCACTAAGCTAACGTTTCTCGTTCTTTGTTCTACCATTATTTTCATTCTAAAAAGGAAATCACTAGCTAAATTTAGATATTATTTGTAAGAAATTGCTTGAGTTATGCTTCACTGAGAATCGTGACACCACACAGTTGAGCAATCCAAGAATAAAACCTTGGCTTCTGGGACGCCTCGGTGATTCAGTCAGTTAAGCATCTGACTTCACTCAGGTCATGATCTTATGGTTCGTGGGTTTGAGCCCCGCGTCGGGCTCTGTGCTGACAGCTCAGAGCCTGGAGCCTGCTTCAGATTCTGTGTCTCCCTCTCTCTCCACCCCTCCCCTGCTCACACTCTGTCTCTCTCTCAAAAATAAATAAACATTAAAAAAAAAAAAACCTTGGCTTCCCTCTCCCAGGCCATGCTCTCCTCTGAATCATGGCCCAGCCACCCAGGATAGAGCAGCAGAACATGAAGAGGCCATCCCCAGGGATAGGATGTGAATCCCAGGGCACACTTTCAGGCCCCGAGGTACCACCATTCCCAGAGCAGGGCTTTATCTCTAGATCTCAGTCTGGGCCCACTCCTAAGTACTCAAGAAACAATTATGAAATGGTTGTAAAGCTGCCATATGCAGACTATCTGAACTCTTTTGACTGGCTATCCCTTTCCTACAGGTTAATTGCTGCAGATGAAGAAGTTAGATAAATAGTTCAGTGAAAAGTAGGGAGCCACGTTAGGGATTTGTTCGAATGCTAATGACTTGTACACGAGAGCTTCATGCTGCTGAGACAGTGGGTGCTTCAAGCTGCTGGAAGGCTTCATTCAGACCGATCTCGCGAGACTGAACTATCTGGCTGGTTGTAGTGGATCCCTTGTAGCACTGACTTTGATGCAAAGGGACTCTCTTTCCTCCCCCTAGCCCTGCACAAAACTCACAATCCGTCCTCTGCTCCCCACCTCCCCATCCTTTTAAGCTGCTGTCTAAAAGCACATTAGAGACAGGAAAAAAGGACTCATTTTCAGAGTATCATGTCTCATAATGATAAGGCTTAGGTAAAAGCAGTAGTGAAGTGGAATAACCTTTCTTGGGTTTGATTGAAAGATGCTTTATTTCAAAGAGCAGTCACAGTATAAATTGTCATTTAAAGAGAGACGGTGGCAAGAAAACGATAGCAGGTGCTCTACATGTGATCAACTCTGTTCCTCACAGCTACCCAGTCAAGTCCTTGATTCTGTCCCTCTTATAGATGAACAGATGGGCTTAGAGAGACAAAGGTAACCTTCCCAAGGAAGTAAGACCATCTGTCAGTTATGAGCCAGGATGGGAACCCTGAGCTCTTGGTCTGTCTGACTCCAGACTTACCCCATCACCACTATAACACACACCAATACTGTCTGGTGATTGTTTTTGTTCTTATATAATGTGCTTTCTCCAAGAAGCCGAAATTGTTTCTAAAGAGCTCATGCAAGAGAAAACACAGTGACGCGTGTGGAATGGAAGTATACTAGTTAAGGAAATATTTGCTCTCATAACAGATAGAAAATCATGGTGGTAACACAATAGAAGTTTCTTTCTCACTCGTGTGAAATCCTGCCAGAGGTGGGTGAGGGTATGGCAGAGGTAGATGGTTCAACAACCCAGACTGCCATCTTTCATCTTTACACTTGACACCCACAGTTACCCTGGTCAGCAGCAGGTAGCAAGCAGAACAACAGATGGGAATGGGGGGTGGGAGGGAGAGGGGAGCATCCAGGAGGTTTTTATGGGCCAGTCCTGGAAGTGGAATACATCACTTCTGCCCACATTCCACTGGCACAAACTTGGGCATATGACTCGACCTGACTGCAGGCAGGGCAAGACTGGGAAATTAGCTGGGTGCCGAGGGGGAAAGAAAAGTGGGTTTGGTGAACTGCCAACCAGTCTCTGCCACAGGTGTGCAGAGGAGTGAGAGTTCAGGATGAGCAAATCCAGTGGGAAAGTGACTTAGAGTGACTGATGTGGATAGATTCTGGCCTGTGGATATCTAGTTGTTTTTAATAAGTTAACTCTTAGAACCACAACAGATACCTTGGCCATTCCTCAAAAGCCTTTTGCTGTTTGCAGTAGATGATGGATGTCTGGAAAACACCCCGGACACAGCAGAGTTCAGTCGAGAATTCCAGCTGCACCAGCACCTCTTTGATCCAGAACATGACTATCCAGGCTTGGGCAAGTGGGTAAGTCAGATCTTAATGACTAGTAGATGTTACACTCTGGTACTGATGGCAGAGATGAGCAATAGGGTGGGGTGAGAGAAGAAAAAATGTTTAGAAGGTGATTTTTTTCAGAAATTTCTGGTTGAGAGGCATGTTAGTTAATTACCAAACCACATGCACGTCTAGGACGCGATATACCAACCCATCCCAAGTCAGTGATCTCTAACCTGCTCATCAGCTGTAGTCTCCAAAGGCTTCTACTCTGGTCTCCTCCACAGCCTGTGTAAGTCTTGTCAGTGTTTCACAAAGCACATATAGGAAGTATATGGGTTGTGGGTTTTTTTGGTAAAAAAAAAAAAAAAAATTGCCAATTATCTCTAGACTGAGGGAGATGATCTCTGCAGGACCAAGGAAAAATGATGCCAGAAGCTTAGACACAGACAGATGTAATTCTGCTCTATGGAAAGAGAAGGAAAATTCCAAAACGTGTACCAGTGAACTTGCTGTCAGTACCAGGCAAGAATCTATAACTGTCCGTTAAGAAAATTGCAAGCATTTGGAAGGAGAAATCATCACCATTTGGCATATGTTTGTTAAAAACAAGTTTTGTCGATCTATTTGCCAGCGTTATTCATTGACTTTGCCAGCTTGATGAGGGAAATGAAGTGAACGTGGTGTATTTGGACTTCGGCAAAGTACTTGATGAGATCTTTCATGATCTCCTGTTGAAAGAGGTGGAGAGATACAGCCTTGGCAAGAGAACATCACTGGGAGGGAGCTTGTTGAAGAGTCCATCCATGTCCATAGGGAGAGAGACTCCACATGGTGTCCTGCATGTCTTAGTACTACCCCATTCCACATATTAAATATGAAATTGTAGTAAAATATTTTGAGTAAAAAATATTGAACAGGTACTTACCAGATTCTCAAATGATGACACAAAGTTGGAAGGTAGAGCACTGAATGACAGAGTCAGGATTCGAGAAGATCCCAACAGGCTGGAACAATGGGTCAAACAGGAACACAGTTGAATGGGAATGGAGCTTTGTTCCTGTGGTTGGGCCCGTGTAATCAGATGCTGAGAAAAGTGGAAAAATCCTAAGGAGTGTTAATTCGTGGATAAGCAGGTGGTCAGTACCTCTGTGGAATGAGTGAATGAGCAGATATTCCTGCCTAAGCACTTCTAGAGCTACTTGTCCCTGCTCAGCTCATTGCTGGCAGCTGACCTTGATTCCTTCATTACTGGGACTATCTTAGTCTTAGGAGTAACCTCCTTCCCTTCCTTTTACACTGTTTTAGAGAAAGGTGCCTCTCCTCATTAATTACCACTTTCATTTCTCCATTATCTTGCTTTAACATTGCATTCAGTTGCTTCCACCTACCCTCACCGTATACACTTTCCCATCTTAAAACAACAAAGCAATATTACTTTTGCTTTCTCCAATATGCAATAATTCTTTTAAAAAATTTAATGTTTATTTTTGAGAGAGAGAGAGAATGAGTGGGAGAGGGGCAAAGAGAATGGGAGACACAGAATCCGAAGCAGGCTCCAGGCTCTGAGCACAGAGCCCGGTGTGAGGCTCGAACCTACAAACCACAAGATCATGACCTGGGCCGAAGTGAGACGCTTAACCGACTGAGCCACCCAGGCGCCGCTCCAATATGCAATAATTCTATTTTTCTTCTTTTTCACAAACAGTTTGGTTAGGGAGAGTTGGTTCGTGGAGCCATTCTGAAGCCTACTAGTAGAATTGAAACACGTCAAATTACAGAGGTAGACATCTATAGGCTCTTGAATAGGAGACTGAAATCATGAAAGTCTTCTATAAAAGAAATTATTTCTGGTGGCATATGGAAGGATGAAAGAGAGAAGAGTAGATTAAAGGAAATAAAAAAGTGTAGGAAGTAATTCCAGTTATGAAGGCCATGAACATAGTAAATTTGAGTGAACCTCGTCAACGTGATTAGAATCTAAGACATTTCGAAGGCAGATGGGGAGCCGATTAGAACTGGTATATGGCATAAATATAGGAGGAGGATGGAAGAGCTATGTCAGGTTTATGTGAAATGGATGGCATGAACTTTTCTTCTGATGGAAATTTTTAAAGAAAGGAATAAGGAAGAGGGATATAGGAGGAAAAGAGGGGAGCAGAGAAGGTGGGGAAGAGCAGGAGATAACAGAGGAGCCCCAGGAAGGAATCCGCAGAAGACGGGCAAATCCACAGAAGCAACGGCCAGTTTCAGCAAAGAACAAGTGGAAGATGCTAAGCCTGCTTCGTTCCAGATGCTGCGCTAGGTGCTTGATCTATAACAGTCTCTGAGACATGGTGCTGGTCTTCAATGAACTTACCACCTTGTGGTTGAGAAGAAATGTGAAAACACAACGAACCCAACGTAGCACGGTCCAGCTTCATGTTCTAGCTATGCTGTGATCACTAGGAGGTACAATTACTGGCAAAGAGGGAAGATAAGGGCAGATATGGAACCTCTAAGATGGAGGGCTTGCACAGCCAATTGTACAATTGCCAGCGAGGAAGTTGAAGGCAACACTGAAGTCTAAGGTGAGAAGGGCCCCTGAAGAACGGGTAGGTTGGAAATGAGCAAAAGGAAGCAAGAGTGAGACTGGGAAAAGTGTGAGTGAGGGCAGAGAGCCCTTTTGAGGAAGCAGGAGAGATGGAAACTTCTCTCCTGCCAACTTTCCTTGCCTCTTCTTGAAACCCTGGATAGATTACTATTACAGATCAATGACCAGGAACAATGTTTACATGCCTTTTATCATCAGTAATTATGTTTATTTAAACCTAAGTTTCTCTCATTTATTTTCTCAGTACCACCTGGCAGTGAACATGATTTGCTTGAACTTCACATGGTAGTGGGAATCGAGTACAGTAGTCTTCCCTTATCCAAGGGGGATGGAATGACGGTCTCAAGCTTGTCCTAAGCTCAACCAGATTTTAAGTTAACAACGTAATTATCTTAAACAAGAACAGTGCACACAAGACCACGATTCCTTATATGCTAATAATGGTTGCCTGTCTTTGACATTGGCTGGAGCTCAGCTGGGTCTTTAGCAATGATTCATATATTAGAAATATCAGCGTCTGTCTCGTTTCCTGCATTACTTTCTCTTTGTTAATGCATCAAGACACATTTTTTAAATGCACATCACATGCCTTCCAGGCCCTGTGTTGGGTGATGGGAATGGAGATTAAGAATAATAGTAATTGTATTTTATTATATGATAGTAAATAGTAATAGTTATTAAGCATGTACTGTGTGCCAGACACTGTGCTAAATACATGAATTATCTCACTCAATCTGCCCATCCCAAACACGCCCATTTTACAGATGAGAAAATACAGGCTTAGGGGGTGTGAGTAGCCTGCTCAACACCACAGAGCTGATTATCAGCAGAGGTAGGATTTGAACTAGATCTTCTGACTCCAGGAGTTCTTTAAAAACTGGTAGATTTCTTATCTTTTCATGGCTCATGGCTCATCATGTGTCCTGTACTGTGGTCCCATCAAGTCCTGTCTAGGACTGGCTATCTTTTGGATGGTGTGTGTGCCCCCAGTGTGGAGTGGCTATACCCAAAGACTGGCTCTTGTGGGTGTCAGTCACCCCCTCCTTCACACAGTAATTGCTGACTGCTGCTTAGGAAAAAGCATCCTCTTCACTTTGGGTTCGTCTCATGTTTCCATGTGATTAGGTTTGAACTCTGCCTTTCTGATATGTTCCTCTTAGTGTTTCACATCAGGAGGCACATGATGTCACTCTGTCCCAGAATTGGTGACTTGTTCTAAGTGATGCCTGCCGGGTTTCTCAAGTGTAAAATTACTGTTTTTTTCCCCCCTTTGAAATTAATCATCTGTGGGGAGGTACGTTGCAACTGTATAAATGTTTGGTCCCCATTAAACTTTCAACCAACAATCTTAGTCTTCATCGATGATACTAAAATCAGTCATAACCATGGTACTTGTAAAACAGTGATTTTTAAACTCTATTACTCATTCTGCATTTACTGGTTGCCATTTGACTCTAAACAACAGTCCCCCCTTTTATTCATTTATTTATTTAAAAATCTGTTTATTTATTATCAGTATGGATTGGTTAATTCCTATTATTTATTTTGGCATTCACTCTGTCCTAGATATAGCCAGCAGGAGTCTCCAAGTTGGCTTCTCTTTCCCTTTGACACATCTCATCACTTCTTGAGCACGTTCTTACTTTATGGGACAATTAGATGTTTCAACTCCATTGATCCTTAAACTTTCCCTGCCCTAGCCCTGCATTCAGACATTCTCCATTCCCTGGTTCCATTTAGGAATGGAATTTGAAACCAAGATCTGGGCAGTTGTCCAAAATCTTGATGGCACAATAGAAAGCCCTTTTTGTGAACTCAAACCTGCTACTCACATGGAAAACAGGCTCACCGCTCCTCCATCCCTACCCTGTCTACAAGGAATGGGTATCAGGAGAGGGGGCTGTTTTCTTCTCATTCTTTTTGTATACTTCTTTCCCCCCCCCCACTGTACCTGCAGCCCTTGCCTCACATCCATACAGTAATAGCAGGGCTAGTCGGGAATGCCCCAGCCACTTTCATGCAGGGATGGGAAACTCTCATCCGGCTAATCCTAACCCTGGCTCTTAGGGAAACCCAGGGACTGTCTCTGGGAGGACAACTTGGTCGACCTTTGGCATTTCTTTTCGAATGAAGGTTCTTATTTGTATAATCTGCCCCACAACCTTCTCTTTTTTTATATAACTTGTTTTATTTTTTATTTTTTAAAATTTACATCCAAATTAGTTAGTATAAAGTGCAACAATGATTTCAGGAGGAGATTCCTTAGTGCCCCTTACCCATTTAGCCCATCCCCCCTTCCACAACCACTCCAGTAACCTTCTGTTCTCCATATTTAAGGGTCTCTTCTGTTTTGTCCCCCTCCCTGTTTTTATATTATTTTTGTTTCCCTTCCCTTATGTTCATCTGTTCTTTGTCTTAAAGTCCTCGTAAGAGTGAAGTCATATGATGTTTGTCTTTCTCTGACTAATTTCACTTAGCATAATACCCTCCAGTTCCATCCACGTAGTTGCAAATGGCAAGATTTCATTCTTTTTGATTGCTGAGTAATACTCCATTGTGTGTGTGTGTGTGTGTGTGTGTGTGTGTGTGTGTGTGTATACACACACACACACACACCACATCAGCTTTATCCATTCATCCATCAATGGACATTTGGGCTCTTAACATACTTTGGCTCTTGTTGATAGTGCTGCTGTAAACACTGGGGTGCATGTGTCCCTTCAAAACAGCACACCTGTATCCCATGGATAAATGCTTAGTAGTGCAATTGCTGGGTGGTAGGGTAGTTCTATTTTTAGTTTTTTGAGGAACCTCCATACTGTTTTCCAGAGTGGCTGCACCAGCGTGCATTCCCATGCCCCACAACCTTCTGAAGGAGTTGAACTGAATCGATGCTGCCTTGACCCCCCGGGTGGTGCAGTGGAAGTTTGCCACCCACGGTTGACCAGCTGCCCCACCCCCTCGTTCCAGCTCTGGGCCCCCTGCGCTCCTGCCCACACAGGCAGATGAACCTGATGGTGCACATGAAGGGCCTCTGTCCTGACCTCCCAGCCCCCAGAGCCCTTCCCCAGCCTTGGTGCAAACTCCCAGATGTTCTCTGCACAACAGGAGTTGTTACGTCCACAGAAATGCAACTCCAGAGGACAAGAATGAGTCTCCCAGCGATGTGCTCGTTCTTTGAGACTGTGATCTGCACATCTGCCTTTTCTCCCTTCTAATATTAGATTGACCAGTTTCCCAAGTGAGCAGGAGACCGAGGCTGTGGCCAGTATTGGCCTATTGGGTACTCTAGATCCTTCACTCCCTGGTGCAGCCTCCCTGCATAGTTGAGGTTGGGCAAGAGATCCACATTGTAAATTGCGGGTGGGGTAGATTTTAATGAACATGAAAATGATGAAGCTCATTCTTGGCATCTGTCCTTTGTATTTCCAAATGTACCATTAAAAAAAAATCTCTATATCCAAAACAGTTCAGAGGATACAAGTGTTGTATAAACTTGGTCCCTAACAGAACTCTGTCATCTCTTTAAAAAAAAATCAATGGCAGTATATTTTATTTAGAGTAAGATGCAATCATCTCTTTTATGCATTATTTCCCTTTGGATGAAAAAAAAAAACACAAATAAGTCCCCCCCCAATACCCCTTCTCCCATTTTGCCTTCAGATTAAGTGTTCTGTCTTTTATAATCTCAGTAGGGAAACCTGTGGAACTTGTGTCTGATATTCTAGAGCTCATTTAAATCCACTATGTGCTCGAAATACAGCAATATGTGGAAACACTTATACAAACTATGGTAACAGAGCCCGTTTTTTTTTTTTTTCTTCCCCCAACATAGCTTTCTTTCTGCCAAGAAGTTTTTTGGCAGTTTTTAAAAGGTTCACTCTATTAAAAATGTTATAGACCAAATGGTTTTCCGATTGTCTTGACTGGGGGCACTGACTTAAGCCACAGGAGGAAAGGTTGCAGAAGTCAGGATGTCTCATTTATTTACATAGAGGATTGTTATTAATAGTCAGACACTCCTCTAGAGAACAGTTTATGTGTACAGCTCATAAAAAGGGAGTTGGATACAAAAGTAAAATGAGATAAAACTGTTTGTTTTAAACAAAGGCTGTTCAAAGTGAGGAGCTGAGTTTCCAGTGCCTCTTGTGTTTTAGAATGTCGTATTTTCCTGTTTATATGATTGTTGGTGACACTGGTGTGCCTTGGGGCATTGCAGAGAACTTTATTAAAAGCTACACAACCACCAGTCTTTCTCTTGTGGTCTATCTTTCTGACGCGACATTCCTTTCATCTAACTTTGTTTCCAAAATATGTGTGTGCAAATATCCAGGGGGACACACCAAGTATCGCTTCTAAAATAGACGTTCACCAAATTTGATCCATAACTTCTGTGTTCGTGTTTTCTTTTCTCCCCATTCTAGAACAAGAAACTCCTTTACGAGAAGATGAAGGGAGGACAGACACGAAAGCGGAGGGTAACGTGTGGCTGGCTGAGCTGCTGGTGGGATGCCTGGAGCTTTCTGAGTGTGACCCCTCAGTTGTCGGAAAGTAGTAGAGGCCTTTCATGAGCCATCCTGGGAGGGCGGAACTCGGGTCCCGTGGAACGAGGGCCACACTCTTGGTTTCTGGGGTGGGCTCCCCACGACTCGGCACATGGTTTTTAGTGGAGGGCTGTTGCGTAGTGATCCCACCACCTCCACTGCATTCGCGAAATGGGTGTAGCGTTCCTCCCATGGGTGTGGGAATTCGGGGAGCACGTGAGGGTGTCTTTCCTTAGAGGGGCTCTGGGCCGCTGGGGGCAGCTGTGCACACATCTGCACTGATTCTATAAACACAAGAGACAGGAACAAGGACGTGCTTGCTGAACTGCAAGCTCCAGGCAATAATTTTGAAGGAATATAGGGGGCAAAGGATGAGATGAACAAACCTCATTCCTCCTACATAGCTTTTCTTCACCTAGCCCAGCCCCCTTCCCCAGCCTTGGCACAAATTGATGTGAAACACTCTTCATCTGTTACGTTTGCTGACTGGTGAATTTGCTTCCAGCTTCCTCATTTACCATCTCAGGGCTGCCCGTGGTGGGATGTTGGTCTGGGTGTTGTGCGTTGAGCCACTATGGTGTTGCCTCTTGTAAAGCTGAATGTCAAGTCTGCTTTGGGTTTCCAATGTATTGAATGGCAGCGAGACTGAATAAGTGATCAGTGACCATTCTGACAATGCACTGGTGCTCTAGTGGATAGAAGTGCCTGGCAACCCCCTCCTCTCCTCCTCTGACCAGGTGGAGGAAAAAGTTAAAGTCCTGTTATTATGTAGCAAAGTGCCATGTAGTAACCACATTAGTTAAATGTACAAACCAAACCATATACTCAAGGCCACTATTTCTTAAAAACAGCAAGTGCCTGGATCTCGGCAAAGTTTGGGAATCTGGGCAGTGGTAGTTGTGGCCATTCTGCACAGTTCTGCCAAATCCAGTCCGAGTGCTTGAGATGGCATAGATCTTCTGGACACGGCATTAATTCATGGGCCCCCACAACAGAAAGTTCCAAGCCCCTCTGCTGCCTGACACGTGGCCAGTTTTGAGAAGCAAAGTTGTCTGGAAACCGATCTTCTTTGGGAGGGTTAGCACGGTTATTAGGGGTTTTTCTTGGGTGATTACAGTTTCCAGTGGCAAATGGTGACAGGAAGGGTCTGAAGGGTGTAATGTGGTCTTGAGAGAACATCAAGAAATTCTATTTCAGGACCTCAGAATACACATAATTTACCGGTAAGATGGCTCGAGTATCTCCCCATGGCACAACAAGAACATTTCCAAATAAGACCAATGACCGACCCAAAATGAAAAACTTAGCATGAAGCTTTAATTGTCTCTACTTCCTGGCTCAACGTTCCTTGTGCCCTGACTCGGCTAGTGACTGTGGGTCAGGATTTAGGTCATTTTTCCATGAGACCAGTGATTACCAAAACTCAGAATTCTGGCTAGGACACATGTTATAAAGGATTGTACTTTGGTCTCAACTTCCTCCACATAGGAAAGGCCTAGAATTTATGAAAATAAGGGTCATTTTGACCCAGTCGTATCAAATTCTTCCTGTTCTCAGACATCTACAAAAACCCATGGTCATGCCATAAATCCTGACACCCTGGGGACTCAGGGGGACACAGAACTTGCTTTCCCTGCCATCAGGCCTCATGTGATGCTCCCATTGATTGAAGAGTTTAATCACCTGCTCAAGTGCACCCATCACCAAGGCTTTCTCCAGGGAAGCTCAGTATCTGCTGTGGGTTTCCAAGGCTCCCAATGGTTCTTCCAGTTATGAAATGGGAAAAAAAATGTTCTCTCTGTAACCTAGCCAGTCCCTCTCACCCAGGAGAGGAGATAGATACGTAAGTGCCTTGAGTTCTTCAGAGGATTCTTAAAATCAAGTATCATTATTATTATTCCTTTTAAGTATAGGATTCAATACTGATGAACATTTATCAAAAAAGTTCAAGTGATTGCTCCTTTTGCTTCCTCACTAATTTACTCCCCGCCCCGACCCCCACCCCCCAGTATTTGGCATTTTCTGGGTCTAGGCGGAAGGACTTGCTCCTTTGAAAGTCCCTTTGCCCAGAGGGTTTCTCCCGAAAGTTACAACAGACCCCCAGGTAGTTTTATGTAACTTTATGTATTTGCTTAAATCTAATTGAATTCCACTTGCTTCATGAGTAGGAAGAGTCAACTCCCCTTTGCAAACTTTAACCATTAAGATGAATCTTGTTAATATCTGAGATCTACTATTTATCTTAAAGAGCTTATCAACCTTTTATTCCCATATTTGATAAATATGGAAATCTCATATCCTTTTTTAATGTCTTAGAATTTTCAGGTAAATATTGTTACTAAAAAACAATAAAGATATTTATGATATTGAGTACACTTTTTCAGTGCACGCTTGTGTCACCTACCCGGAAATTTTAATATGACTCTCTGGAGTTGGCCAGGCCATTCTCGTTGACAATCTCTATGTAGAAAGCATTTTAGTTATTTTAAACATGTTAAAGATGCCTTCCCAGCAAAGTACTATGTTTTTGTGACGTGTCACTTTTCAGATATGAGGACGTTGCACACTTTGTAATTCTCAGTTTGTAATGCATTTTTGCTGGATGAGTTGGGCCTTTCGTGATTCATGCATTTAGCTGTCAGAATGTGGAAGGGCTTTTACAAAATCTCTTTCGGAGAATGACCTGATCACCCTTCAAAAGAGCCAAGGCAGACAATGTCCCCTTGTCTAGAGAGACCCACCTGTGAACTGCCTCCGTTCATCCATGGGGACTTGGGATGGATGATCATTTGTAACTACAGCCTCTTGCTTATATTTTTGTCCAGTTATTGGAAGGGGACTTCAATAAACAAATACCTTCCAAAACTTTCGAAATTTTTTCTGCTTGGTAAGTACTATGTTATAAAGCTCCAATTACTAGTTCAAATCCAAACCTCAGAAAGTGGATATGTATTAAAGAAGGAATGGAAAAACCTTGACTCATTCAGAATAGCAACAGATGAGAGATTTCAAAGTCTTGAGTCCAAAGTAAAGGCACCTTGTGCAGAGCTTACTTCTTTTCTTTAGCTTTTGAACTTGAAGGTGGAAATGATTGCCAGGGTCACTGATGAATCCTCTTTAGGGAGAATGGAAGAATTAGGTAGCATGTAAAAATCAATACAGCAACAGGATGTCCTATGACCAGTCTACAGACACTAATTCCTACTTGATCTGTTGCCTTCTTTAGAACATTCTTATAAAATACACTTTAATGCATTTCACATTCTCTCTTCCACTAAATAAGGCCATAGAACAATAATTTTATTTCATATGGGGCTTGCTTGGTATCTAAGTCGTAGTGAGAACTTGTTAGCTGATTCACTCCAAAGCTTTGTGCCAAAGAACTCTTCGGTTGTGTGCAAGACACAATTAAAGACATCTGTCAGTCAAACAGTGTTTCTCAGGCCACTGAGATTTTGAAGATGCACTGAAATAATCATGTGGTAGGTGGTAGGTACCACTGTTACCTTGTTTTTAACCCAATAGGCCAGACACAATTCTCACTCACGTCTTTTCTTTTGTGAGATGTCTGTATCTGATGTTCAGGTATAATACCAAACTTTTTTTTTTTTTCCAGAGTATCAATCCATATCTACAAGGACAGAGACTGGACAACGTTGTCGCAAAGAAGTCGGTCCCCCATTTTTCAGATGAGGATGAGGACCCAGAGTAGGGTGAAGATGCTGGGTAGAAACCCGCACGGCCCGTAGGCCTCAGTACTGCTTACGTGCACGTGTTATTAGAGCCCCTGTGAATGGCAGCATGTTTCTAATTTAGACTAGTATGGATGAAAAGCAGCTGCATTTTGATATTGCATTGTCCTTCACACCGATAGCTCTGCTTTCTACCAAATTAGAATAAGAGCTCTTTTCTTTTTAAATGTGGATCTGCAACGGGCATTGAAATTAAGGTGTATATATCAACAACAGTAAAAAGCAAGACTATGAATGAAATGTCCTCAGATTTCTTGAAATTTAAAATGGTGTTTTGGGCTGTGCTGTTTTGGTCAAGTCTGTAGAAAGCTGGCATTTGATTTTGATTATGTAGTTCACCCAGCCCTTGGGCATTGTTACACATCAATAAAGAAGGTTGTACTCAAGAGGAGGAGCAGACACATTTCACTTGCCTACATCTTAATAAATGTGGATGCAAGCCTTGGTGGGTGAAGCTTTTTTCTTTAGATCATTATAAAAACAATTTACGTGCTTGCTAGAACAAACTCACAACACGATCTCATTTGATCTTAACACTAATGCTGTGATGTAAGTGGGGCTGGTAGTATTATCCCCATTTTACACGTGGTAGGACTGAGACTCTGGGCTTCCACAAAAATCTAGAAGTGGAGCAAGCAGTGCATGATGACTGAGGTCTTTGGCTTTGAGTTACTGTGTCTTATTCAGCAAATACTGGGTTTCTAACACATGCCAGGCACAGAGCTGGGCTCTGGGTACTTCGGGGGCTCAGACTGACCCCGCCCATTCCTCAGGCAGCAGAGTATGTAATCCAGGTCGCAAGACATCTCTCCGTGAGCACAGAATAGGTCCGTCAGCGACACTCCGCTTTTAAAGTTTAGAGCTACAGACGCAGGCACACTCCCCTGCCTGTTTCTGAAAAGATGTGCAATTTTCAACCAGCTGCGTCTTCCCAAGCCAGAAAGGCAATTCAACGGAAGGCTGGCAGGATGCAGTTCACTGGTGAGGTTGTTTCCATGCCTTTTACAACTCTTCACTGTAAAGAAGACAATAGTTTCAGGCTTTGATATCATTGGCCTCAATTTCCTGGTCTATAAAAGGGAGACAGCAGTGAGAAAGCACTGAGGAGAAAGATCATTCTTGGTTTTAATTTTAATGAGTGCACATTAAGTCTAAATGCCAGTGATTTATCTAATAGAAACAGCTTGACTGCCTTCGTTAACAGAGGAGTCTGTTACTATCACTTATAAAAACCAAGAAAGGTATTGGCATGTTTTTTCATAGCAAGAGGCATTTTTTTCTAGAGAGCATCAGCAGCAGTTTTGCCACATTTCATAGCATGATTTCAGCAGCACCCTCGCCACCTGATTCCAAAAGATAGTTCCCTCGCGTTCTAGAGCCGTACAGAGCTGGGAAGGCTTACCCTATGAATCTTGTGTTTTGTGGGCATGTACTTTTCATTTCAGTTTTAACTCTCTTAGAAAAACCAAAGGATACCTCTTTTTCTGAGATTGGACAGAAGGAAGGAAAAATGGCTACAAGATGTTTTGAGGCCCCAAGGAAGGGAGCGTAGGCAAAACAGGAGGAGATAAGGTCACTGTGCCTGTGTTTGTCCCAGTTGCCCTCAGATGGGTTCTTAGCCCTCCCCTGTTGTCTCAATGACAGACTGGGTTTCCAAGGCTCCCAGGTCAGCTGACCTCTGCCTGCATTTAATATGAGGTCACTGAGAGGAGAGTAAAGGTGAGAGATGGCAGAAAACAAGGTAATTTGTTTTCTGTCTCCGTAACTGCATCTTCCCCTTAAGGGCCCATCTCCCACTAGGTGAGTATAGCTCCAGCCATCTTGCCTCTTCCCCTGGTCCCAGCGGCTCCAGGAGGCCATGGCCTCTGCCATATTGTAAATCTCTGGGTTATTTCACTCACCCTCGTAGGCTCTTCCATCACCCATGTAACCAGTTTTCTATATTAAATTCCTTCTGTTTGAAATCTTTAGAATGTTTTCTGTTTTCCTGATTGGACCTTGACTGATACAATCATCCATCAGGGGAATCAAGAATTAAGCACTGTGAGAAAAATGTAGAACAACCAATGTGGGGAACAGATAGCATGATGCTTCTTGATTTTTAATGTAAATATGATGCATTTGGGGGAATATTGTTAAAAATGCACACTCTGATGCAGTAGGTCCAGGGTAGACCTCAGATTTTGGCATTTCTTGTAAGGTGATGCTGATGCTGCTGGTCCATGAACAGCATCTGAGTAGCACAGAAATAGAGGATTAGGAAAAGCTGAATGGAAGTGGGGGAACAGCCCTGACACCAACTTAATTTAGTCTGAATCTATAAGGACCCTGTCAGCATTGTGTGGTAACCTTATCCAGCCACTCTCAGCACCTTGGGAAGAAAAGCAGAGAGGACAGACACGGGAGTGAGCCTCATGGAGGAACATCAAGAAGTCAAAGATCCTAAAACACCAGAGAAAGCAAACGAAGTTGTCCCATTTGAGATCTGAGCCTTTGTTATGGGTTGAGCCAAGATCAGTGATCCGAGAGGTCAAAAGAATGTAGGAAATGATGTGGACCAAAAATAAAGTCAAGGAGTTGGCAGTTAGGGGGACGATGAGTTTGGATTCTTGACAAAGGAAAATTTTCAAGTGATGGTAAATGATGTCTCAGTTGGGACAACTACAAAAAGGAGTCAGAATAGCGTGGAGCTAAAGATCAATGGACTCGGGAGAAGTAGAAAAACCATGAGGTCAGGGAACAAAAGGCAGAAGCATCAATGTGGGAGGTAAAGTCTTCACGTTAGAGGGGGTCAGGTTACCAAAGTTCTGTACAAAGTCAAAGCTCCACCACAAGCTTGTAGAGTACAGGGTAAAACTGAGAGCCAGGATATTCTGACACTAACTGGAATGCTATGTGCCTACACATTTTTATTTCTTCTTACGAAGTTCTAGATTCTCAAAGGGATCTGTGACCCTCAAAATGTTAGAAATCGCTGTTGAGAGTAGCAGTGTGAGCCATGTTGGCAGTCACTAAGGAATATAAATGTTCGTTATGAGGGGTCCTTGAGAAAGAAAGAAGAGGCCAGAAAAACTTCTCCCGTGTAGATTTCCAAAAGAGATCTTCGTGGTCAACCACTATCAATGACGTCACCAGTGGGTGAAAAACCAAGAGTTAATTCCTGATGGTTAGATCAGGCCAGCAGCACCTGAACCCACTGGTCAATCAGAGCAAAAAGAGATGGATATTATATGCCTCCTGGTGTGATTAATAAGAAACAATGTCAAGGAAATATTCTTGTCAAAACAATCTGACCTAAAACTCTAGATTTAACTCCCTGTCAACAGTAAGCACAGGGAGGAGAGAAATATGTTAAACACACTGCTGAGAAGCAATCACCAAAATCTAGAATGGGGGAGACTACAGGACAAGTGACCTAGCATTTTTCAATGAATAAATAGCAGGAATTGAAAACAAGGAGGTGGAAACTGTTCAGATTTTGTTTAATGCTTATTTATTTATATTGAGAAAGAGAGAGAATGAAAGCACGGGAGGGGCAGAGAGAGAGAGAGAGGGAGGGAGACAGAATCCCAACCAGGCTCTGTGCTGTCAGTGCAGAGCCCAGCTCGGGGCTCAAACTCATGAACAGTGAGACCATGATCTGAGCTGAAATCAAGAGCTGGACATTTAACCAACTGAGTCACCCAGGTGCCCCACTGTTAATAGATTTTAAAAGGCTTAAGAGACATAACAAACCAAATACAATGTGTGAGTCTTATTAGTATCCTGACTCAAACAAATCAAATTAAAAAAACATTGATGTGGGGTGCCTGGGTGGCTCAGTTGAGTGTCCGACTCGGCTCAGGTCATGATCTCACGGTTCATGAGTTTGAGCCCTCATTGGGCTCTGTGCTGACAGCTCGGATCCTGGAGCCTGCTTCGGATTCTGTGTCTCCCTCTCTCTCTGCTCCTAACCAACTCGTATTCTGTCTCTGTCTCTCTCAAAAATAAATAAACAAAACAAACAAAAAAAAAAACATTGATGAGACAATTGACTAATGACTGGCCGGATATTTGGTTTAAGGGTTACATGGTATTTTGGCTATATTTTCTAAAAAGAGCCCTTATTTCTTAGGGATAAATTCTGAATTATTTATAGATAAAATGGTAAGATGTCTTGGAGTTCCTTTAAAATAATCCAGTGGTAGTGATGGTAGGAGGGGTATTGGGGGTATAGATCAATCAAGATTGTCTCTAAATTGATATTTGTTGAAGCTGGGTCATGGGTACATGGGGATTCGTTGTACTTCTATCTCTACATTTGTGATTACTTGAAATTTTCTACAATACAGCCACAATTAATGGTTTACGAGTAGGTTATGTATGGTAAGCACTGACCTAGAAATAACAACATCGGACAAGGTATACCGCTTTACTGAATAAGGATATGGAAAAGGTGAGGAAGCAAAAAGGAAGATTAATGAAGAGAATTTCCCTGGAGTGTTGTGAAGGGACCTAGCAGAGGGTTCCACGGAAGAGACAATCTGGTGGTAGCGGTGGTGATGGGTCAGAGTCCATGGGAGGAGAAGGGATTGTCATAGAAAGAGAAAGGTGACTGGAAGCAGTAAAGAAGGGGGACCTTCATAAGACTGACGGATGCAAAAAGGCCATTTCTTTCTGGGGGAGTCTGGGCTGCATCCACAGAAACACACCAATTTTCCTGGGAGCTGGAAGGGTTATTAACTCACCTCTGGGGTCTGTTTTTCTGCAACGCTCCAGCCAAGGATCTTTGACAATGGGAAGGTTGTTTATATTTCTCCCTGCCACCTATCCACAACACACACACACACACACACACACACACACACACACACACACACACACGCACACACACCCACACTCACACACAGAACTAAAGAAGATGAAAGAAAGAAAGAATACTGAGCACAGTGGCCACAATGTAAGGCAAATGTGCCACCAT